AACTTAATGGAACTTAGTGGAAATTTAATACATGTAAGTGATAGATTACTTATCTTAGCCTATAAATAGGAGCATCTTGTAAGCATCTCGATCAGTTTGAATAAATATATTTTGAGTTTCTCATTTGTGAGAGATTTTTCCTTTGTTCTTGGATTAAAACTTGATAGTGTTGGTTCTACCGGCAAGTCGCGGTCGGGGTCACACTTCTTTATTTGATAACTTTGGTTCTACCGACAGGTCGCGGTTAATATCAAGTTCCTTTTCTTTCCTATGCCTATTTCAAGATGATCCATTCATGTTCCAAAATATTATCATTGGAATGATAGACACCTATCAAGGTCCAATACTTTAAAATACGATTTTCAATTGATGGAAGGCCTAATGAAGGGAAGAAGACCAAAAAGAGCTAAAAATAATAAATTGAAGAGCCTAATCAGCCCAACACTAGTTACTAAAGATGCTACAATGGGCTAGACATTATTTGGATGGTTTACTTAAAAGTTATTTAAGCCCAACATTAGTTTTTGGGCTTAAAAGTTATTTAAGCCTTTTTCTTATTTTATTGTAATTTTTGTTTTATTTACTTTTATTAAAATAAATCAGATGGTTTTCCATGTCTTTTAGGCTACTTAGTGGAAAATAAATGCTAGTGGGAGTTAGTGAGATTTTATTGCTTAGTGGAAATTTACTATATGTAAGTGATAGGTTGCTGATCTTAGCCTATAAATAGGAGTATCTTGTAAGCATCCAAATCAGATTGAATATTAATATATTTTGAGTTTCTCATTTGTGAGAGTTTTTTCCTTTGTTCTTGGATAATAACTTGATAGTGTTAGTTCTACCGACAAGTCGCGATTAAGGTCAAGTTCCTTTTCTTTCCTATACTGGTTTCAAAATGATCCATTCATGTTCCAAAATCTTATCATGATTCCTTTGAGTTTTGGTGCTTGTATGTTGTCTTTCTTGTGTTTTCTCGGTTGCATGAATGAATGTAGTAGAGATAATGAGGGTGGATCATATTTAGGAGGAAAATTGGTGAAATGTAAGTGAGGAACGAAAGGGGAAGCCATTAAAATGCAATTTTTTTTGCACTAAACGCTATAGCCATGGGAGAAAATGAGACAGTCAAGACTACAGTCGTGGTTTAGTGCTGCAGCTATGGGAAAACTGGGATGGCCGAGACTTAGCGTTGCAACCGCGGTTGGATGCTGCAGCGGTGGGAAAAGCTAAGTTGGCCTAGAGTCAACGTTGGAATGCTGATTGAGCGTTGCAGCAGTGAGGGTAAATGATAGAATTTGGTCTTGAGGTCTTCATAAAAGTTGTAGCTTTGGATGTTAGATTTCTAATGACATTGGAATCACAAAAAAAAGAGGTCTAGAACTCCATTTATGACCTTTTTAGTGAGCAAAGGTTAAACTGTCAACATTTAGACAAACTGTTGCGATTTTTACAATTTTCAACATTGATAGATGATGAAATTAGAACCTGAGTTTTGCATGAAAGTTGTGAAAAATCTTCTTATCTTTCATATTAGATAAGGATGAGTTTGATTGGATTAGAGGAACTCCAATTATGTTGTGTTATGTGGAAGTTGTTGTTGTTTGCTAATTGACGATTACATGTTGAAAATGATGTGTTAACTCCCTTATAGCATATGGTAACATACAATGTCCTAAGTTGTTATATAATTAATTTTTGATATTTAGATGATGTTAAATGATAATAATTAATGATGAATACTATTGATGTTGCGCTGTACATTGTTGATTAATTTGATGAAAGTGAAAGTTGTAAAGTTGCATGCTGTATAAAGTGATCAAGCTGTGAGCATATGGTTGAGATATATGTCTAAGTTGAGATACACATATATTAGAGGTGAATTAAGTTTTTTTAAAAGTTGCTTCCCTTTAAGGTCTATGTGGTTTTGGTATGGAAGTAATTGAACCATATCTTAGTTGAATGACTAATTGAGTAAAGTACGAAGTCAGGGGTTAAAATCCCTAATCTAGTATTAGAGGGTTATGATATATGGAGGATAGTTAGTGGGCTAATCTCATAGGTGGCTTAGTTAAGCTAGCTAATGCCATTGTAGGTCTATACCTAAACTGTTCTACCTTGACATAGTACCATACTTCTTTGTTTAAGTGGAAAAGCTGGATAAATCAAACTAAGTTTTCTATACTATACCTGACATAGACTTCTTATGAGGCCTAATACCTTACCTGGTTGAACATGTTGTAAGCTGTGAGTTGTCCTATTGTCGATCTATGCTTTTGTTGCTTTAGTTGTATTATTGTATATTGTTTCTTTCATAAGCTTACCCTTCTTTTTCTTGTGGTTGGAATTGTGATGACCATACATGATATGCGAGCAGGGCAGGATTAGGCAGTTAGTTGACGAGATGATGGTTGTTTTGTATGACTATTCTAGTGGAGTCTTATTTTGAGTGTCCTTAATTGATTGTATAAAGTAAAATTTGTAGTTGTTTATTGATGATGTATATTGTATATGTACTAGATTGATATATTCAACACATTCTACTTTATGCATGATTTTACTTCAACTTCAATGTCGATTTTTCAATAATAATAATTATTATTATGATAAGCAAGTCATTATTATTGGTTAACTAACACAAACATGTTATAAGTAATAAAGATTTGAATTCATGGATAAAGACATGAGTTTGTAGATAAAAGTTTTGAACTTAACAATTTAAATGAGTATATATTTTATGAAATGGATGATCCTTATGTTATGGTAAAACTCATTTATTCCTATTAGTCACTATAAAACTTGTCAAAATCTGATCATAAAATAAAAAAAATTGTATGTACTTATTATAAAAGGAAAAATTGTATTGAAGTATGATTCTGTGATTATTTTTTTTAACGATCTGTATGATATTTGTTCTCACTCCTTTTGTATTTCTTGTTTTCTTTGGACATTTTTTTAATTAAAAAATACATTGATTAAAGTAAATGGATACTTTGAACCTTGAACCGTTCACAACACTCATTCATGTTGTATTTTCAGGATTATAATAAACGATAAACACCCAAAATAATCCAGTTACGTTCAAAGGACAAAGTTTCTCAATTATATTACTATTCAATGAGTCAATGTCAATTATCCTAAGTAATTATGTGACTACCAACTTCACTTTTGTGCCACTAATCATATTAATTCGCTATATAATAATATACATTCTCTTTCTCTATGAAATAAACATAAGAAATAAGAAAAAAGTTTATATAAAAAAATATTTCCTTCTCTTCTAATCAGTTAGGGTAAGAATGTTAATAGTAGTAATTTGTAATAAAATAAATGTCTAATCAATAAACTTGTTTTTTTTAACTCAACATTTTTTTAGTATTATAACATGTATTATTTAATTAATTTCATATAATGCTAATTTTTAAAAATAAAATAATTAAATAAATAGCAATAGTTTGTAATTAAAAGAGTGTTACACTCATCAAATTCTTCTCTCTCTCTGTATATTCTTTCGATTCATTTTTTTTTTACCACAATCAAACAAACAAAGCCGGGACAATGATTGATGATGAGAGGCCAGGGATCTAGACAAGGGGCAAAGAAGGTTTTATGACTTATTATGGGGGTGGGGATGAGGTCAGTGGTCACTACCCACTAGGGTGTTACCTACACAACTATTGCAAAGGAGTAGTAACTTTCATCAGGCACTCTCAACCCATGATCTTCTGAGTAATATGCTGAAGAAAAGAAACAGATTGAAACACCAAGCACATTGTGTGGTCCTTGCTACACCAAATGCCTAGACACTTCAAGCTAGTACCACACTAGAAAGTAGACACACAACCTACAACATGGAAGGGGAATAGACTTGACCAGCCCTGTAAACAAAAAGAGAAACACTTACTAATAGAGGCCATGGGGCTGATAGCTTAGTTTAAATAGCGATGTTTATGTATAGTCCATGCTCCATGGTGAATTTTAACTTTTATTATAACGTAGTGAAACAGTTTAAATATTTGTTAGAAGAGGTGTTGTTTATGTTTGAGATGTCCATTTTAAATCTTCAACGTAAGGAAGATGTATTGGAGATACAACAAATCAGAACAAGCTAGTAATTCTTTGCTACCAAACTCCTAAATAATCATATATCTAATAAGGAGTTCAAATATGATTGCTATTACTGTTGTTATATAACCGATATAAAATTATTTAATTATGTTTGTTTTATCTAACAGTAATAATTGCTTTCAAAAAGAGTATTTATGGGAACCGACAAAAATAAAATCTTTGGGAAGCACAAAGATTTGTAACAATTTTAGAATTGTTAATGAAATATCAGATAAAGTAAGCTGAACATTATGTGCAACTAAGATGACCAAAATTGATTAGTAAAAATTGAGTAATGTTTAAGTGAATTTCTATTTAGCTTGTGAAGCATATGCCCGTATGCATCTCAGAGATCAAATAATCGGATAGGATCATAGGATTTCAATATTCAGTGCTTAAAAAGCTTTAAGATCAGAGAGAAGAGAAGGTAGCTTCTTAAAAAAGCAAAGACTGAAATTTATATGAAAGCCAAGGCAGCAACTGCAAGAGTGGCAGGGCAATAAACACCCGAATCTGAATGAGTTCAAACAGATGCTTCAGTTTCACTTAGATTTAATTTTATTTTAACAGTGAAAGGGACCTCCACTAGTAGGTGAATAAGTTTCAGTACCCTTTGTTTACATATATATCATGATGTTTATAGACTATAATCATAGAGTTAATCACTAATATACATTATCAGTGTAAAAAATTTTTATATCGGCAACCAATCATATTTTTTAAATAGTTTTATTTTATTTTTATTTCATTAAATAAGCAATTGACGTGATACTATTAAAAGATACGATTAGTTGCCAGTATAAAAAATCTTTACACTGACAATGTATAGGTGATTAACTCTTATTCATAAACTAGATGAATTCATGGCTAAAATTTAAAAACGATGGCATCTGCGTGATGATTGATGCGTTTGTGATTTTATTATTATAATACAATAGTACAATTGAACTAAAAAGAGAGATGAACTCGCTGTACAAAGGAATACATACAGAAACACAAAAGAGGGGAAAGGAAAGGAATCCGAAAGCATGATTTAATTAAGAGTCTGTTTAAATAGAAGTTTAGAAGTGTTTTTAGAACTTTTCTACCAGAAAAAGTTCTTTATTTTCAATATAGAAGTTTTAAAAAACTTTATAAGGTTGGATCCAAGTAGGCTCCACATCTAGAAAATGCTTGCAACTCTATGTTTTTATCCAGCTGATGAAGCTGTCTAGATTATTGTTTGACAAACCACCTTGTCCAGTTCCAATTTGAACCTTCTCCTTGAGATCTTTAACCCTTGCTTTGAATTGTTCATCATTCAAAAGTTGCTGGATTTTGCTTCTGATTTCACCTTGTGTGATCATGCCACTCCCATCTGGTTCAAGCCCTAGCCCTACCTTCCAAACATCACAAATGTAACTCCTATTTAGGAACTGATCAGCAATGTAAGGCCAACACAAAATTGGTATCCCATTGCAGACACTTTCCACTGTGGAGTTCCAACCACAGTGGCTTATGAAGCAAGCAACTGAAGGGTGGCTCAGGATTTTCTGCTGTGATGTCCAACCCACCATCCTACCACGGTCAACTACCCTTTCTAAAAATCCTTCTGGATATGCATTTTTTGACCCTTGTGTTATGTCCGGTTGCACAACGCACAGGAAAGGTCTATTGGAAAGTTCAAGACCTAAACACAGTTCTTGGAATTGGGAAGGACTAAAAGTTGTAAAGCTTCCAAATGCAACATATATTACTGAACATGGTGATTGTTGATCTAGCCATTTCAAGCAAGTAAGGTCTTGTGGCCAGAAATTTCCTGCAGAGTGATTGCTTGACAGAAGTGGCCCTATAGGTTTGATTTCTGGTGCCATAGAAAATGTTGCAGATTCAAGCTCATAAGTTGAATTGCAAAGCAGCCATTCAGCTTTCTGAATGGACTTTGTGTTTTGCAACATGAGTTGAAAAATGTGCTTATGAATAGTCTTGTTCCCCACACAAAGCCAGACAAGTTTTTCTGTACTTACACTTGGCATTGTAGGAGCTAGCTGAATCACCTGTTTTTTCATTGGAGTTCCTGGATAATTTAAATGTTGAGTAAGACATAAATACTAACAAGTAAGTTTAGGTAGACTTATTCTATATAATAATTTATGTTCTACGTCAAATTTCAATGATTCAACTATTGAATTAAAATTTTTTAATGCATAGATCAAATATGTAAATTTAAAAAATATTTGGTACTTTGTTATATAAATTTAAATCAATTTATAAAATATTTTTATGATTATCTGTCAAATAGTTTTCATTTTTTTTAAAAATTTGTAAAGTTGAACTATGTATTAATAATTTTTAATTTAATGATTATATTATTAAAATTTTATGCAAAAATATGAATTATTGAGTGAAATAAGTGAATTCCTCTTCTCTATATATAAAAAAGGGATTTATTAGAAGTAGAATGATTCCATTCAAGATAACAAAAGTGGGGAAGGTTCTTAATTTTTATAACCCTCTTTGAAATTTGTATTTTCACCATACTTGATGAGAATTGATAATTATTGTAAATCATCCTAGTTGAGAAAGTTAAACAGATCCTCTTGTATTAAAAGAGAAACATTGTGATTCAAATTTCAATGGTAGAGATATTTTCTTAAATTAGGTCTCGCAATGTTTCTTTATTTACATTGAGAAGGTTTATCGGTTCGAATTCTCGATGTTAATTTACTACTTTTACACTCATTTCTTTTTCATTTATAGTACCTACTTTGAGTACTCATAGAAGAGAATCTAGTGTGTTAATTCCCTACAATAAGGACAGTAACCTAACATGCTGTGATTTTTATGAGATGATTCATTGGACAACTTTTTAGTGAGATATATCATATATATGGTGCTTGCCTATCAAGTCATCAATTAGGTTTGATGTAGTAACAACTCAATAAAAGGAGGCATTTAACTCAACAAATGTTTCTCTTAGTCTATAAAATTGTCTTAGGAAGGAATTAGAACATCATATGGATATCATATGCCTTCTTACTTTTCCATGCAGAATGATATATGTGTTTTAAATATGACATGGCAGAATATGTACTTCTTGGATTTACGACTTGATTGCACATTAAAGACTGATGTTGAATCACTTTTTTTTGTCATTAATATCATTTAAAATAAAATAAATAAATAAATAAATACAAGGAATATGAACTCACCATCTTGATCTATGATCCCATTATGAATCAACTTTGGAATGTTCAATCCCAACACCAACTGTGCAGCTGATGCAGGACAGAAGGCTGCTCTTCTAATTCCCTTCTTTTCTGCAATATCAAGTGCCCATCCAATGCTTTGATCAGCAAGGACACATGTAATCTTCTCACTCTCTGATCCATTGATGCATTCAATTAGCTCCTCAACTTTCTCTGGCAAAACCTTCAAGATTGCTTCAGATGATTTACCTGGCTTTTTCCTGTCCTCTGAGGATTCTAACCCATCAGATATCCACACTAGACAAATTTGAGATGACACATCATTCCCACTTGAAAATGCACTCATGATCCTCTCATGATTATCTTTGGTGTTTACAAAGGTTACCTTGATTCCTTGTTTGGCTAAGAGTAGTGAAAACTCCATTAGAGGAATCACATGCCCTAGTACTGGGTAAGGTACGACCATCACATGTGGCCTTGCCATCCTGATTCTTGTTCCTTGTTGTGCAGATTCAATTAGTTCTTGATATATATATACAAATGCAAAGTTAATAAATAAGCAAAATTAGGGAATGTGACGATGCCAAGTCAATAATTCTTAGTTTTTATGCAAGTAAATTCGTGCAAATTATTAGGATTAGAATATTCGATTGATGACAGAAAATAAAAAAACTTATCATGATAAATGTGGGCACAGCTCTCCCTGGAATTTTCGAACCTGAAATGTGTCCATCGCATGAACAGTGTGCAAGGAGTGTTACAGTTGTGTTGGCTCTATCAAAGTAGCGTTTACATAAGACAAAAGGTTGATACAATGACACGCATGAATGGTTTTTGTAAACATTGAATAGCCTTAATTAAAAATATATTAGTCAATTAAAAAACATCTCATACAATGGAACCATTCACATTGGAATAATAACGGGTATTTCAATACACGCAATGCAAAAGAGAAATATTTATTTCATATTATTCAAATTTATAATAAATAAATACTTTAATATAAATTATAATATATTTAAAATTAGTAATAAAGAAGTATTTAATATATAAAACTTATTTTAATATATGAAAACAATTTATATTTTTTTTAGTAGAATAGTGTTATAATACTGGACCTCAAACATACTATCTCAATCTATCATCATTAATATATTATGATATAAATTTATCTCTAATAATTGATAACTTATTTTGAAATATTAAAATTTAATTTAAAGATAAATATGAGAAAATAAATGAAACGATACATGGGATTAAAGAATATTCCTAAAATAGAATTTCCATTAATATATGAAAAATAATATAGAATTGCCATTCAAACTTGGGTGCTAAACTTGAAAGGTGAAATAGGGACCATTTAACAACTATCCTCCTGTTTGGCTTGGTGTTAACATTGCTTTCAATTTTTGCTTAATTTAATAGGGAATTATTACGGTATTCTTATAAATTAAAATATATAAATATAGTTAGTTTATTAAATTAATAAAAATGATATAAAATGTAGATTTTGTTTTTTATTATTATTTATTATTATTATTTTTCTTTTATATTAATTGATATGCTCTTAATAAATAAATGATCTAAATAATTAATTTACTATTTATTTTTACCAAATATTGGTCCAAGTATTTCAAATCATTTTATAGAAATCAAGATAATTTTGAAAAAATACAATAAGATTTTATTTGCTAAAGTTGAGGGAGATTTTGTAAATTTTTTATTCAATTTTCTCCTTATAATTTGTACACAAATATAATTTTTTTTTTAATTTATCATGACTCATAATATATAAAAAATATTCTTATTAAATCCAAACATTATATTTATATATATATTAAGAATTTAAAAAAAAATATATTGAAATAAAATATATAAACATGTTAAAAATCAAACAATTCTAAATCAAATGTTTAAATATTTTTTAAAAAATAAAACAATTCCAAAATTCTTTAAATATATAAAAATATAGTAGAAAATTTTAATTTAATAATATATAAAATATAATCAGCACTACATTTATAATAGGAAATTGCATAGCCGTACCCTTTTGTTCTGCATGAAACAAGAGAAACAAATCCTCGCTTTCATGGACAAAATCTTCTCTTCTAAGTGACTAAATCGACTAAAATATATTTGTATGAAGGTGGCAGCGTACCAAGTCAGGACAGTTTTATTAGAAAATTTCAGTTTTCGAAAGTTAACATCGCAACTTACATCATATACAATTAATTATTTATCTAAACTTTAGTTAAGAATAATGTGTTAAGAATTGTTGTAAGATTCTTTTGTATCATATTTGATTCTCATAAATAAAAAAATATTAATTAATTGTTTCTTTTATTTTTATACACATGTTAACAAGACATTTTAATTTTTTTTATTATCATTTTATTTTTATTTTTTTCGCCATGTATATCGTTTCTTAGAAGTTAGAAACAGTCACAATTAACTACTCTCAAACTAATTATAGTGAAGATCACATGAAAGATGACTCATACAAATAATTAAAAATTAAATATTACTCGGCTCACTTTGTAACGTAGTAAATAATTTAGAAGGCCATGAGTGATTTAGTAGTCTAGAACGGGTCGTTCCAAACTACTAAATAGGTCTATGAATCTTGGATTGGAACGGGCCGTTCCAAAATGATCATTGTGAGTTAAATTCAACTCCAGAACGGGCTATTCTGGTTTTAAAACGGGCTCTTCTAGTTTTAGAACGAGCCGTTCTAGACATGCTAGAACGGACCGTTCTGGTTTTAGAACCGGTCGTTCTGCATGTGAATTTTACACATGATGAAGGAGTCCAGAACGGGCCATTCCAGATTTGAAACGGTCCGTTTTAGCGACTTCAAACTTCTATAAATAGAGGTTGTGCAGTTGAGGAGAAAGAGAGATTTTTAGAGAGAAGGACTTTGGACTATGAAGCTTGCTTTGAGTGGATTGAAGTTCCGGGTTGAGCTTCGGAAAAGAAATTCTACTTTTTCTCAGTTTTTGGCTATTCTGAGCCAATTTTCAGGTAAGAGAAGCTAGATTGTATATTGTTTGGTCATATGTGAGTTTAGGAACTCATATGGAGTAAGAATGTTGAGAATCATTGATTGATTCGAGGCCTTTCTCATTTTTTTTGGGATTTTGGAAAAAATGGGGTTTTTGATGATTTTGACGATGCATGGTTGATTTCATGTTGAAATTGAGGTTATTTTTGAGTTGTATGGAATTGTAAAATTACATTGAGAAATATGATGAGATGATATAGTTGAAAGTTGTGAAGTGCATGATGATAATATTGTGAGTTGTGAGAAACATGATGTGAAGTGTGTAGATGTGTGTGGTTTATATAGATGTTATTAGTAGACTGTGTTGTTAAGTTGTTAGAGAAGAGTTGTATGTTGCTATAAAGTTGTATGTTGTGCCATGTGTTGAAAAAATATTATTTTATGATGATTGAGTTGTAAATTATGAGTTGAGCTAATAAGTTGTTGAGTTGATTGTGTTGTTTAAAGTTGAAATGAGATGTTGTGTTGTTAAAATGTGTTGTTAAACAACGTTGATGAGTTGCTGTGCTGATATACCATGTTGTTTAAGTTGAAAGTTGATTGAGATGATGAGTTGAAAAGTTGTAGGTTGTTTAAGTTGTTGAGTTGAGCTGTGCTGTTGAGTTGTAAGTTGATTAAGCTATGATGATGAGTTGTTGATCACTAGGACTAGGGGAGATGTTTTCAAAGTTACTCATGCCATTGTGTGGATTGAGATAGTTGTGGTGCTCTAAGAGCCCAATTTATTGAAAAACCCTCCTTGGGAAGTTGTCCCTTGGAGTGGACGTTGTGTTGTTCTCCTCTAGGACTTAGTTGATCCCGTGTGTGGGCAAGGTCGAGGCACACGAGTACAAAGCGACCACGGTATAGGGGCAAGGTCGAGCTATACCGATTACAAAGCGATCACGGATAAGGGCAAGGTCGAGCTATACCGATTACAAAGCGACCACAATATAGGAGCAAGGTCAAGCTATACTGATTACAAAGCAACCACGGTATAGAGGCCAGATTGAGCTATACCGATTACAAACGGCTAATTTGAGTAAAGTACGAAGTTGGGAACTTAGTTCCTAATCGAGTACTATACTTCCTTGTTTTAGTGGCAAAGTCTGAAAAATCGTTATCGTGTTGTGGATTTCTATCCAAATTTGTTGTTTACCTAGCAAGCCCAAAAAGGTTCTGTGTTGTCGGTTCGGTAGGACCTAGCCACTTAAACTACTCACCACGTTATAGGAGATCTCTAAGTTGAAATGCGTGACGACGCATAAGTTGTTGATGAGTTGATTTGTTGTTGATAAGAGTTGTATATATGTTGTTGTGTTGTTAAGCTGTAATTGTGTTGTATGTTGATCTTGTTGAGGCTGATGACAGTGTTGTTATGTTGTAAGTTACTTATAAACATGTGTTGTTGAGAGATGTGTAATACATGTGTTGGTTGTTGTTATGATGAATATGATAACTATTTCAAATGGTTTGTATAGTAGTTGTGTTGAAGTATTGATCAGTGTCGATATGTTGAATATAAGTTGAAACGATGTTAAAATGTATAGTATATGTTTGTTTATCTTTTGTGTCGGATGTGAATATGATTATATAGTTGTTGTGTTTCATATTTGATATTTATGAATTGCTTATTGTCTCAAGCTTACCCTTGCATGTTTCCATGTAGTTTGGACTGTGATGATCATATATTGTATGGGAGCAAGGCAGGGATAGGCTGAGAGATAGCTGCTAGAGGCCACAAGAGGTGCTTGGAGATGAATATTTTTTTTGTAGGCTACCTTATAATAACATATTTTGTTGTATATAACTAGTTGTTGTTAGTTGCTTGATTAACAACTTGTGTAGTAAATATTTTATTATGCTATTTTAGTATATATATTCTAGTAGTATGTAGTGTTGTTTTGTAGTGCGATGACCATAACAAGTCGTTATACACTTTTACATAATTATTATTTTTATCATATTTTTTTTCCAGTTTGGATATTAATCTAGTTTTATAATTTTTATGCTAGTTTTTTTATTATTTTTTTATAATCATGTTATTAGTCTTGTGAAGACGATTTTATCAATAACTAATTTTTATATAAATAATTTAAAGAAGATCTCCACTAATTTTATCCTACTAATTTGATGATTCATATAAATAAATTTATGAATAATTTTTACATTTTAAATTAATTAAAAAAGTTTTAGATTACATCGTAACATTGAAAATATCATTGATTAAAAATGACATCCACTCAAATTTAAAATTAAAATGGTCAAAATGAATGTTACTTTTCCCACAATGACTATAAGGTTGAAAATATGTTTTTACTAATTAATAATGTAATAAAAGGGATAAAGAAATATTTATATAAATTATTGTAGAGTTATTAAATGAAAATAACTAAACTATTTAAGAAGAAAAAGATACTTAACAAACAAATTTTTTTTTTTGAATACATCAGAAATTCAGAATAGTTTAGAAAATTTTAATTAAGTTCTTAAACTTAAAAATTTGGTAATTTAGTCCATAATTTTATACAAGTTAAATAATTGAGCCGTTAAACCTATTTTATAGCAACATGAAATTGTCATAAAAATATCGATTTTTGAAAATTTTATTAATTCTAAAACATAATTATAAAAATGATAAAAGATTAATAATCAAATTAGAAATTAAGGGGGGTGTATTGGATTAGGATTTTAAAGGATGTGAAAGGTTGCCACAAAGCACGTAAAACCTCCATAGTTGAAGATCCAATAAAGCTTGAGGTATTACTCATCAATCTCTTGTTTTATCTTTGTCTTCTTTTATTTTTACATATTACTATAATAAACGCAATTATGTAGATATTTTAGGAGTTTACCGTGTAATTTAAATTTCAAGCATGTAAATAGTAATTCATAAAGGGGATCTAATATTTAATTTATTATTTCTTATCTCATTAACTTCATCATAGGGTACCGATTAAGGGCGTTGTAGGGGTGCTTAATACCTTCCCTACATGTAACCGACCCCCGAACCCAATTCTGGTTATCAAGGCCATTATTGGACTTT